GTGTATAAGAGACAGGGCGCGACCCTCCTGCACCTGCGTGAGGTGAAGAGAGTAGAAATGACCGCCAGGGGCGGGTGGTCCCCTTCTGCCTCCGGCTGGCGGGCAGCTCCAGCCGCTGCACAGTTGTTCGCAGGGCAGGGAGCTCGGACCTGGCTCCGAGGACCGCCGGTGGCGCAGGGCAGAGATCCACGAGGGTCCCTCGGGGGCGCCTCCTGCTCCCGTGAGGTGTGTTTGTTACCACTGATGAGCGCCTGCCTTCGCTCAGCCCCACCGTGTTCGCGTGCTCTTCCCAAAACATTCCTCGGCCCTGGAGACGTTGAGTTTATCTCGAGGATAGCTTGCGGCTGTCGTGGATTACACTTGTTGCTTGTGTAGGCCGTGATGCTCTTCACTGTATTTTCGGTCACAACCCTGAACCTTCCCACACTTTCAGGAGATAGTACTAAAAATAACAGAGCAAGCAGAAGAGTGCATAAGTTTTACATTCCATGCTGAAGCCTCACACTTTGCACTGTCCTCTCATTTTCTTGAAAAATTTTGGCACACAATCTGTCAGCACTAACGGCACTAAATCTCCTGAAATGCACCTTTCCAAAGGCATTGTGTCTGGCAGGAGGGGAATGCGAGTAAGTTCTATTGCAGTAAAATGTATATATGCATTCAGTAGTTTGCAGGTGGCTTGGGTATTTCTCTCCCAAACGCTGTTGTGAGCTGTATCTGCAACAGTTTATTTCTGAAGAGCAATTTTCATCCTGAGGTGAGGTTTGTACCGATAGCACAGTGACAGGCTATGTGCGGGGAAGGCAAATTTCTGACTGGTAGACAAGAGCGTGCTCCATAGTCAAGCTTTTCTCACTGTAGTAGTTGATAGGGTGAGGCATCTAATTAATTCATATTCTCCAACTGTAAGAAGCAGCAGTTTAGACTGGTTTTGCCCATAATAAAAGCTACCTGATTTAGCTTTAAAGAGCAAAATTATTTGTGATGAACTATTACTGAGTGACATTTTATCCTGAGGAATCATTTCAGAGAATTTTAAACAAGGTGTCAAAGAAGTTTAGCCTTTTAAAACACAATCACCTGCCAACAAATCTCCCAGTTTTCACAGAGTATACTGTCTTTCCCAAGGCTGTTGCAGAATTTGTATCAAATAGAGTAGGAAACAAAAGTAGAAATACACTTTTTAGCTATGTACTTTTTCTCAGTGGAAGAATGATGTAAAGCAGATAGAATTACTGAGAGGCTGAGATTTCAACCCCCACCTCTCTTTCAGACATCTTTACTATATGAATAATAATTGGTAAGCATCAGGAAAAAATATAAATCTTGTGGAGTCTTGAAACATCCTGAGGAGACCTGTACATTTTGCAGTATGTTGCATTTATATTTCAGGAACATGAAAAAAAAGGGGAAAAAAATAAGACATCTGGCAAATTTAGAAAAAAAACAGCATCAGAGATGACTGAATTCAAGGGTAAAATGAAAAAAAAAATCCAAACGCCAAAAAACCCCTTCTGTCTTGCACACTATATGTAAGTGGCCAGCACTAATAGAGTACCTGTACTAGTCCTGCAGATAACATTGCAGGATGGCATGATCTGGAGTAGTGGTTAAGCAGCAGCAGAGGCTGCACAGAGGGCTTGCATAGTCTCCATCTTTGGACATTTTCAGAGCCTAACTGGATGGCACAACCTGATCTGGCTGTGAAGCTGGCTCTGCTTTGGTGGCCTCCATAGGATCCCTTCCAGCATACTCTTTTTCTATGATTCTGTGAATTCATGATCCGTGCCAGGTGACTCCATGGCTAGTCCTACGACAAAATTAGTGTGTTGAACTTTGCCGACTTTGTCTGACCAGCCCCACAGATCAGCATCTCACATGACGGCAGTCCGCCAGTGTTATTTTCTTAAGACCCTAGTTCACAGAAGTATTTAAACATGTTCTTAACTTTCAACTCATGCAGCTGTTAAGCTGGTATCCTACATTGACAGTGATTTTCATACATCTACATCTACGATGCTGAATAATTGTTGCTGTAGATGGATGACTTTGCCCAAGTCAGCAATGTGTTGGCAAGTTCATAAAAATGAATGAAAACAAAGTTTTAGGCAGTACTTTCAAAACATTCTTTATTACACTGATGTCACTCTGGCCAGAAAAACAGGAAGTCTGCAACTCAGTATGTTCATGTTTGTAAGAGGACACCTTAATCTTAAAATCCATAACAGCAGTAAAACCAGCTGCTGCTTTTTTGTGTATTGTGACAGCTCAGATTAATGAAGATAAACTGCAGGTCACTTTATGCTGCTCCTCTCATTTTTGTGCAAATAGATTTAGAAAGTGAAAATAACATAGTTACCTTCACTTCCATCAGCAGTAAACCGCTGAAACTTTATTGTTCATTGCTGTCACTTCTGAGTAACTGAGGCCTCATCAACTGAATTCTTTCATATAATATCAACAGATAACACTTCCTGTACAGGCCAAAAGCACTACCTGTATACCATTGCAAAAGGACCTGGGTTAATATAAGTGGTACAATATTCTTTAGACGGATGTTGTTTGTTTTGAGGGGTTGTGTTTCTGCTTATAGGAAGTTAGAATGACGGTATCATTCTGCCATCTCATGAAGAAATAAAGCTGGGAAATATAGATTTCCCCTAGAGAGCAGAAAAATAAAGCAAAAATGTTCCTTAAAAATTAGCATGTTATTGAAAAGTAAATGTTAATTACAATTACATGTTAATTTAAAAGTAACACTTCAGCATCACTTTTTTTTTTCCAACAAGAAACTATATATGCAGTGTTGGTAAAGAAATAGCCAAGAAAGTCTTTTTAAAATAATTCACATTTGTTACAGGTGGTTTCTGTGCTAAAAACTTGCTGTTTGTCACTATGGGGGAAGCAGTATCTAAGGTACAGCAGAGATCAGCTAACATTTCCTGAATGTAAATGTTGTCTGCTGCTTTTGAACACTAAAATAAAGATTTAAATTTTGGGTAGTCTTAAGAATGCAGCAGTAATGTTAGACCAGATTTCTCTAGGAAGAAGAAGCCTTAGCTTGCTGCATATTTGAAGCCTTAGGGAAGAGGAAAGCAAGAATAGCAGGCTGAATTCTCTAGTTTGATTGTACCTCAAAATCACTAGGAGCAAGCACTGGAGAATTTTGATGCATTGGACTGAAGTTTGCAGGTTGATAGCCTCTGTGACCCAGTTATGTCTCTTCTTTCAATGACTGTTTGTGAGAGTAATCTGGAGATAAGAGGCAGCATAATAGAGCAAAACCCTGCTATTTGTAGTGATGGACAGACAGAATAACCACATATTTCCACCAACCCTCTCCACTGAGTGGAGAATTGTCAGTTTCAGGTTGACATTCACAGTGGTATCAGGGG